GTATTTGGTGCCAAATAATAGCTGAAATATGGGGAAAAGCTTTTTGTGATCAATGTTGAAATAATTCCGCTTGCCGCACTTTGAGAACCACTTTATTGGCTTGATTAGTTTTCCATACACAAATATGTTGATATGAACATTACAATAATTATTCATTATGGACATGTAATCAATGATTTCTCTAGTGCAAGTTTTTCCGCACTTCAATCTGTAGTGGAAATCCCCCAATGTAATAAATACTGGTATATTTTACAGTAAAAGAACAGCTCAGAGTAAAAACAGCTTGTTTGGGTGATCTGACAGGAGCCACAGGCTGCAGTGGTGAACTTCAACAGTTAAACAACGCCCTCTAGTGGAGCACTAGTGAACAAACAGCACAAAAATACATATTTTTGTGGTCAAAGAGATTTTATGATCATAGAGTATGAATAGATGTTCTGTCAGTGGGTTCAGTGTGTTAAAATGACAAAGGCACCGGGCGTCTTTTTAACTGAAGCTAAAGCTGAGCTCAAAAAGGACTTGGTGACGTGTGAGTCCCAAAGGAGAGAGACACAAGCAGCATGTTTCTAAGGCAGATTATTGCAGCTTTCCTTTGCATGAATTGAGAGCAAAATAAATACAGTAATTACACAGAGTCAAACTACCACTGGGGACTTCTATGAGGATTTTAGGATAGTTAGACACTTGAGTAAATTCAGAAACAAAATCATAGTAATTCACTGAAAACGCAGGGCTGTAAACATTCTCGACTATTTCTCATGAACTCCTCAGGGCCCAGTGTACTGACAGTGCTGTGTGAGTGGTCTGGTGCAGGTTTGGTGGGTATATTTGGTGCTCCACATGAGGCCAGGGTACAAGTATATTTGGTCTCATATAATCCATGTGGACAGTAGCAGAGATGTGAACTATGCAGCAAATATTTCTACCAACGTCACGCATTTCCAACATCCGATCTGACTGTAAGATGACAAAGCAGAGTTGAAATAGCCTGAAGCCGCTTTCATTCAATTTTGAATGTCTTAAGTACTACTCAAACAGAGCTGCACAAATAAAAGTCAAACTGTGACTTATTTAATTATCACAAGACCTTTCAATACAAAGTGTACTAAAATTAAGTTAAAACTTCCAAATTGAATTAATGGGGCAATATGTTTATGCACTCTGAGTGGTCTAAAGTCATTGAAATTACAGGCCAACTTTTGTTGCCAGAATCGTCCTGCCTGTGACACAGGTAGCTCCTAAGCATTCATAGCAGGTTTAGCTAGAAACAGTGCAGACTCTATCTGTTGCGTATGACTACTTATTCCCACTTTAAACTTTTGTGCAGATGAACAAAAGAAAGAAATAAGAATAAATTAAACACAAACCGTGACAGTTGATTGGTCGAATAAAAAGGGGCAAGGCAAATGCTCTAAATATTACTAAATAATAAAGGTAAACTTAATGAAGAACAACTATTTAGGCATTAATATCATTAGATAATATTGATTGATACATAAAAAGGATGCAATTTTGTGCCTTATTGTCTCAATTTTGCAGTTTTCACATTATTTTAAAGTCAAATCATTTAAAAAACAATGTATTGTTGACCAAGAATGATCCAATAAGTCAACAAAGTTTTTGTGCCAAAAAAAAAACTAGACAGACGCTTATGCAGCCGTCGTTTACATGTTCTCATAAGAAGTAATGCTAGACTGTAATAAGAGCAGCAGAAACATGAGGCGTCTGCTCAGCTCACACAGGACGGAGCCAAATGGGACTGCCCTGGTCATGTGGAGGGCTGGACTCTGGACAGATGGAGCTGAGGAGTCACTGCAGGACACTCATTAGACAAGGCTTACTTCCAACACACAGTGACATTAGATAGATTAAGAAAAAGAGATTTCATTAGGCTGTCCTCAGTTTAACACCTGCATCGTTTAGTGTAACTGTAAATCATTGAATCTTATACAATCTTATACACACTTATACACATTCAATTCAATTAACTTTATTTATCATAGCAAGAATGGTACAGCACAGCACATGATCAGCAGCCCTATGACACCATCCCTGGCCTATGTTTTACAGTGTGTGGGTTGCATCACAACCTTTGTACAGCTGATATGAAAGCAGCTGTATATGTGTTGCCTGCTTGTGCCTGGGAGCTGTGTAATCGTATTTGATACCACTACCACAGCAGGAGAACGGTTTCTTGCATAATTTCTCGCAGAGAATACAACTTTGTTTTGTGGTAATCACTTGTATGAATGAGTAGTGTGTGTGTGTGTGTGTGTGTGTGTGTGTTTGTGTGTGTGTGTGTAAAATTCAGGCGCTTCAGGGAGTGCCAAACCTGTCATAACAGTGAACGTTGACTAATTACAAGGCCTAAAGCTCATGTCTCCACAACGTCAAGAGAAAATACAGTTCAATTTGGAGAGACGTGAAACAAGAAGCTTTTGAGTATTTTATTGGGAGGAGGTTTGGCGCCCTAGGCCCCGGTGCGGCCTTCAGATCGGAGGGGCTCTGCGATGGAGCGTGCCAATCCCCCGGGACCTAGGCACTGGTGGCGGCATTTGGCAGCGGGAAGCAGATTGAAGGCGGATTGAAGGCAGGGTGAAGAGGAGGAGGAGGGGAGGCGGTGGTTGCAGGCTTCGAGAAGGCAGAGAGTGGGAGTTTCTCCGCTTTTAAGCGGCTTGCCTGGCCGGTGCGGTGATTGGAAGGGGCGTTTGCAGCGCGATAGCTGGGGATGAGAACCGGCCTGGAGGGGTTACCTTTGGCTGACGTCTACCAAATTGAACTTTCGCTGGCTGCATTTGTATACAAACACAGACATTTTGGATGAAAGATTACTCTCAATCTAAGCCAAAACGTATGGGTCAATCACACAACCCATCACTTGAGAGCACAGACATCCTCATTGACATGTATCTGTTTTAATAATGTGGAATTTTATGTAATAAAGGTTAAATAAAATGTGACTTCATACTTTGTTACAAATAATTGAAGAATGCAGTAGTTTTAACAAACTGAGCGACATTTCAAGCAAAACCATAACATCTCTATTGCAAGAAGGGGTATCATACCACAGCACACAAAGGGGGACCCCATCACGGATGTAATATCTGGATTGGCTAAACTTTGTCACCGCTAGGGCACAATGCACCCTTAAGCTAAAGGCGTTGAGTATGTACAGTCTCATCTAAGTTGTGTCTTAAATCATACATTTCCCAACTCTGTGATCATAACGTGAAAAACAGCAGCATTGCTCAGTCCTGACAGAAATCACTCCTTTGAGATTGACCATATACGCACATGTTTGTCACTGAATGCCTTTTTTTTTTTTTTAAGTAAGTGTGCTCTTGACCTTGCAGGAATTCAGCTAAATACACTTACACATTTCTCTAAAGTCAATATGTCTTCTTTGTGTCAGAGCTGAATCCAGAACGAAGGTCGCGGTGACTCATATTTACTATTAACTATTTACTATTAACTATTTACTAGTAACGCAGTTTGTCTCAAAATATCTGAACAAAATATGTTCAGACAGAGCAGACACAAATAACTCGACTACTACGACTACTACCACCACTATGTGTTGTCCAGATTAAACTGCCAACTCATATTATTGACTCATTCATCTTTTAAAGCTGTAGGTTATTTGTAGAGCTAAATGAATCAATGGAGGTGACATAAGAGCATGAAAAACACACAAATCATTATTACTTCATTAATCAAAAATAAAACCAAATATTACCCCAAAAACAAAACAGACTTTTAAGGGAATCTGACAGAAAAACTTAAGGCAAATGCATTAGCCATTTATGTCAAACTCAAATTGTGAAAAAAATAATATCATTCACTAATTATATGATCTTGAGAATTGTAGATCCAAAATAAGGTTATCAAAAAACATATATAAGACACTCATGACGTCTTTCTCCCAACAGCCTTATCCTAACAGTAAACAATGTTTTATCTCTATTCAAAAAGACGGGATCTGTGACTTTACTATGCAAGAAGACGTTACTACAACTTGCTGAAAAACATAACAAACAACACCCTAAAGTTGAGCTCATGAATTGAAACAAAGTCCCAGAATGGCACTTTAGTTGTGAAGTTGCGGCTTAAATGCATTCCTCCGCGGCACATGTGTCACTGTTTTATTACCACGTCTCTCCAGGAGGTCCCAGAACACAACCTGCCCCACACAGACAGAGGGGGCATGTCAGCGCGCCCCTCCGACCAAGCTGTCCCACACTCTTTACACCATCATTTGTAATTACAAGCGGGGTGGACAAATGCTTTCCTCACGGCCTCAAACTCGCAGAAAGACTTTTAAAGGAGCTCGATTCAAACAGCCAGACAGGTTCACAACGACTGCGGCTGCTGCCTCCTCCTCCCCCCGTCCGGTTTAGGAAACAACAAACAATGTGGTTGCTAAGAGATTGTAGGACAGCCCGGGTCTGACATGACAGCGGCGGTGCAGACGGCCAATAGTCCAGATAAGGACCTGTCACTCAAAAGTTTTATAGACTTTCAGCAGAGATAGGAGGAACGGTTTATTATTCTTCAAAGACCACGGATGCCGAAAGAAAATTATTTGCAATGTTGGAAGACTACAGTGCGCCATCTTTCACAAAATTACTTCAGAAATGTATTCAGAAGCATGAACTTATTGACAAGAAGTTCCTAAAATCATTGAACTATTGAATTAGGCTGTGTCGAAATATGCAGTCTAGGGCTGTAATTAATCATTAATTTGATAATTGATTAGTTGGTCAATTATTTGTCTAGTGAATCGACAGCGGAAATATAATGTATAACAAAAACAATAGCATAAATTCATACCACTAGTGCAAAGACAATGCGCAGATGAAGACCTGAGAGAACTGAGGGATAAGCATAAGAGTGTTTTGTGACATGACTGCTGTCCATAAGTAGAATCAGATACTACTTAGTCTAATTAGATGTACTGCTGCAGACATTGTGCATTGTTTTTTTTTTTTTTTTGCACTCACCAGCCTCTCCATCTCCTGCTCCCTCATGCGCTCCTCTCTCTGCCGACGGTGATACTCCAGAAGCTCGTCCTCGTTGTCGCTGATCTCCGAGATGCTGTTCTTCCGCTCCCTCATTCCCGGGTGCGGCCTTCCTGACGTGGACATCTTCCGGTGCGACCTGGGACTGGCCGCTGGAGACGACCCCGGTAGAGACCCCAGGCTGTAAGCCGGGGTCAGAGAACTCCCCAAACCGGCTTTTCTAGTTGGCGATGGACTACGAGCTCTCATTCCTTTGCTTGTTACTATCTCGTCAGGTGTCGTTGCGGTTTTGCGGCGCAGTCTTGGGCTTTCGGAAACAAACTTGCTTAAACATGAAGGACTGTCTGGAGTTTTTAGAATTGGGACAGTTCCTGGAAGCGCTCCTGGAAGTACGGGGACACCTCTTCTCGACATAGACGGGCTCAGCGGAGGCAGATCTCTCATGCTTATACCTAAAGTACTACCATTGATCTCTGTGTTCCTTCGAGCAACGCGAGGGCTCTCTGGTGGATTCAGCGTTCTTTGTTGTAACGGTCCGCCTTGGATGATGTGGACTATGGGGTCTAGCGGCGGCTGGAAGGCTCTCGTATGTTGGGAAAGTTGCCTTGACGGGCTAGACGTGAGCGAGCGATCGACTAAGCTCATCTGCTCCCTGAAAGGACTGGCGGGTCTTTCTTGAAGCACTGTTGTGGTCTTGGTCCTTGAGTGTGAAGGAGATGGGCATGTTGAAAACTTGGGCATAAGTCTTGGGCTACTTGGTACAATATTGCGCCCATTGAGTGAATCTTCAGGCGACAAAACCGTAGCGTGTCTTGGGCTATCGTTTGAGTCTAAACTTAGTCCTCTCCTATTTGATTTTGGACTTGGAGGGGTTTCTGAGAACAGCTTTCTTTGCAACCTCGGGCTCTCTGGGATCTTCTGACCTCCACTGCTACTGAAATTGAGTATGGTTCGTGGTTGAGGGACTGGCGGACCATGAGAGGTGAAGTTGTAGCTGGATGATCGTACAGGCACAGGTGGCAGGGAAGCGCACTGGTCAAAGGGTCCACCAATGGGGGATGGGCTGGTGAAGCTGCCACTACTGGCTGCTGATGGAGATGACAGTGGAGAGAATGGAGGCGATGTGTTTTCATAACTCGACCCAACGGACATGGCCCCAGGGCTGGTGGGGGGAGACAGCAGGTACCGCCCTCCTCCGTTGACCATGGGAGAGACCGGGGAGGGAGACAAGCCCCCGGGGAGCTTCTTGGAATCGGAGGAGGTGGGTTGAGGGTCGTCCATGACTAAAGAGTCCATGATGTCCTGTAGGTCCTTCTCGATGGAGCTGACGATCTTACTGTGCTCAGACTGAACTTTGTCGCCAGCAGCCGGAGAGGACTGAGCTGGGCTGGAGTGGTGATTCCCATTGACCAGGCTCTCGGTGTCTGCAAAGAGAAAAAAAAATATTGTAAGCTTTTGTTTATGCCTGGAAGGGAATTGTTCTTGCTGTGCAGTAGTCATAGACGGATTACACAACAATATACTATAGAATAATCTTGTTGTTAAGAAGATTTAAGAATAAATATGCATAACTAAAATGCTACAAAAGATATATTTACCGGTAATTATGATCTGAACATTGATATCCGAATACTAAACAAACAAAACAAAATGTTATGTAAAGAAACTATATCGGCCCAGAACTTTCGTCGACTGTTTATTCATAGGAAATAATTTGTAAAAAATTAAAACATTTTCAAAAACAACATAAAAAAATGTGACAATAAATGTGAGATGATATAGTTCAGAGGAAATAAGCAAAGTCTTACTGTTCAAAAGTTTCCCTTGTTTTTTGTACTCTCCCATGGGCACGTAGGACACATGCACATCTGTTTTAGAGTAATGAACGCTTTCAACTAATACTGCATAAATAACAGTGTTTTGGAACAGCCTTGCTCTTGTTTCAATCACAATGCTCACTGCACAAATAAAATACTGCCAAGGGACCATTATTTTGTATCAAATAAAAAAAAAATACAGAGGATAAATATAACAGATTGAGTGTTTCTGATAGAAATCTGGAAGAAATGTGCCCACATAACCCAATTACAGTGACGTTGAACTCAAGCTGTAATCTAATCTGGAGCTTCGATTCCCACCACAGAAACACAACTCCCCACGACAGCGATCAATGGCCGGGGCAGGTTAAATTCAGGCTAAATACAATTAGTTTTGAATTGATCTGATGACAACAAACACAGAAATGAACAATTCTTGAAGTCAATAAATTAGTTGCAGTAGAAGTGGTAGTAGTGGTAAATAAAGAAGGTAGTAGTAAATTAAGAAGGATTCTGATTACATTTTACCATAATTCAAAGCATCCACTATAGGTAAAAATCCAACAGCAAATGTCCTGACCGAGATCCTCGTTATGTGGGCATGGGGGCTCCTAACAGAGGTCCTAGTGGCATTAAAGGATGTTTCAAATGCAAAGGACCAATCTACCTATGGGGACAATGAAGTCTACTTCAACCTGAGCAAACAATTATTACAGTAGCTTTAGATCTTGCCTTTGAATTTCAAAAGTGACAATACAAAATATTACAAATGTGTTTTTCATGTTCCAGACAAAAAATATTGTGAAAGGACAGAAAATAAGACTTCTTTGACCCTTTACAACATAATCACTTTGTCTATTTTCATTTTCATAGTATATTTAAAATGAAGAACATTATATTAAAATTGTGTATATGATCTTTCATAATGAGATGAGAATAAATAGATGAATTGCCAAATTTGCCCGTGTAATAGCTATTAATAAACAAAACCCTTTCAATGATGTCAAGAGCAGCAATGCCAAGCTCAAGTATCTCAGGTGGCAATATATCTTGTCTTAAAATAATGCCTGGGACGAAACTACCTATAAAATATGCATTAGCAGCTTGTACTACAGAAGTGGGCTTGGATTCATTTCCTGCCATCTTCCTCCCTGTTTATCTTGAAGACAATGACGCTCTGTGATAATGACAGCCTGTCCACACTGAGCACCGAATGTAAGTCCAGGCCAATTGTACAGCATTAGAGGAGCTGTCACGCTGCTGATAATAGCCTGGATTTTAGACGCTGCGTGGTGCGTTAAATGTCACGTCGCCTATCGAACAAAATGCAGCTGGATTCATATGTGCAGTGTCACCAGCGGCAATAGCGGAGCAGTGGTAAAAATAAATGCAAGCGTTTGCTCAGGGAAAGCCCATACAATGATGTCATGGGCTACCGCCTCAGCCAGGAGCACTTGACAAAACCACGCTTGAAATCATCAGGAAGCAACTATCCGGTCCTAATCAATACTCCAACCACCAACGTACTTGTTACTCATGTATCATATTAGTAATAAATGCGTGTCCAATTCGGCAGGTTAAGTGAGTTAATAGCGAGGTTCTTTCAGCAAAAAAGTTTAATTTCAAGTTCATCTGACACCATCGATCTGATACCGTTTCGTGTTAAATACATAACATATTGAGCAGAATTCCCCTCATATTTTGTATTAATGTAACAGCCGGATAATAGACAGGGCAGGGTTTTATCGTAATATGCGTTCATTGTTTCTTGTAGTGTAATAACATTATTACAATAGGCTAATAAGCTGGAAAGAGCGGCTTTGCTAATGAAGTACGGCGCGTCACCTGGTACTATCGCATCTGTCAAGCGTTGTGCGCGAAGCAGGTTACTCACATCGTGGAGAGATAATACTGCGAGCAGCCGTGTGTCAGTGCGGCTAAAAGACACATAATGAAGGCGACATCCTGCGCACCGGGGAGCCAGAGAATCCGAGCACTGATGGGGCCTGGACGGACTCCATAAACCATAAACCGGGGTGGATGTCAGCCTGGGGTGCTGTGGGGAGCGCGGTGAAGCTAACCTCTATTGAGCAGCTAACTTCCGGTGTAGCTTTCAGCGTAAAATCATTCAATGTTTTCTTTTCCGAGTACAACACATTATGCTGGTATATATTGTAAATGATGTAGTCTGTAACTTGTTTATGAAACAAAGTTAGTGACTTACTACATCAAAAATGACGCATGTATGTAAGAAAATATCTTAGTATTATAATCGAAGAAATGTAATACTGTGCACTTCCGGTAGTTTATCTATAATGTTTTTGGCTTGACTCTATATGCAAGCAAATAGAAAAGTGTCTAATAAGCGTACACGAGGAAAAATGACTTCTGGCATGACACTATAAATTACTATAAAATAATCACACCCTTAGAAACCTATATATTAGCTCAGTGAAATAATATATTCTAGACTGTGTAATTACGGATAGAAGGATGTCAAAAAGGGTTGATGCCACAGGTCCAAGTATATTTCATGACAGGTTGGATATGAATCTGGAATGATAGATGCTTGAATAAAATGTACAATTCATAAAAGACTTGAAACTTGTTGACTGTCTGGCTACCATTCAGTTCATCTGGTCTGTGTCACCATTGTGCCTCACTCTTTTCTGAATACTGGTCAATGCAGGAGCCTCCTCAGGAAGACAGGTTGCAGGTTCTTATTAAAGTGTCAGCTAAAACGGAAATTAGCCCTAAAAGAGGTTGTATAGAGGCACTAGAAGGGATACCTAGGAGTGACAGACAGTAGAATAGAGGTTTATAAATCTCAAAAAAGATACCCCAGCCACTCTTGCCTCAGTAAGCAGCTCAGAGGCACAAAGCTGTGAATGGCCAGGAAATGTCCAATCGGAGACACGATCTTTGTTGAAAGATGCTGGATAAAGGCAGCTGCTCTGAGAGATAGCATTGGGAAAACAGTGTATACATAAAAGTATTTGACAGATGGGTCTACTGCATATGAGATGGCATATTAAAAACCGACAGGAAATATAAAAAGTTTTAACAAGTTTATGTTTATACAGGATTTTTATGGGTGATGTCAAAACCAATGACAGCTAACACAGGGTGATGGGGGAATGTTTTTGTTACTTTGCAAACACATAAATCTCCTTCAGACCTGTGCTACAGTCCTGATCATAAATAAAGTAATAAACACATTAATTTACAGTTGCTGATGATGTCCATGATTTCTCTCAAATAGATACTGCTCATGCCAGGGGAAAATAGTGCACAAAGGATTACGTGTGTGCTGCCATCTACTCACAAAAAAATAGCCTACACATATTTCAATCCAGGTTCAAAGCATAGTGACATTATCTTGAACGCTTTTATCATAGCTGTCTTGCTCAGATGAGAGGGGCAATTTTGCCTCCGATATGACAAATACTCTGAGATTATCATGGGAGTGGCATAAATCAGTCAGTGCAACTTGGGAATGCATAATTGAAGAAAATGGCACGTTTCTAAACATCGGAAACCCTTCATTAGGGGATCAGGAAGTGCACTGCAGCCAGCTTTCCTTCTCGCTATACATATCTCACAGTGGGCAGCGTCAACAGCTAAAGCCGGGACATAACATTACAAGATACTGGGACAGAGCCTGATAGCAAGGCGGCCCAGGGAAAGGTTGTTTTACACACACACGCACACAGGCACACACACACATATACAGTATAAGCAGCCCAAAGTTTTGCCCGGAGACGCGATGGAATGGGATGCTCATAAAACATGCATAGTGTGAATACAGTGCCAGGTCCCAGTTGGGGATCATTCAGACCGGGGGGTACAGAGCTCTAGAAAGTCGGGCTTGTGTCAGAGAGGCTGTAATTTAGGCTTGCATATAGATGAACGGTGCTCCCTTTAGTGCATGTGTGGTTCCACGAGTGATTAAAAACTGGGTTAGAATTGTTTTCATGTGAGCAAATAACATCACTCAGAATTTCTTGAAAATCAAAGCATATAATTATATACATTGATATTTGTACAATGTATATGTTGCCATTTGTTATGCACTATTTTTTATTTTACAGATTGTCATTGTAGACTGGTAAGATTTGAGGGGTGACTTTGTTTTTAATCGATTCATAAATTATATGACATCACACATTGTACCACCAATATTGTCCAAACTAATCATTTCACTTTCGGTAATTGTATGTGATTCATCATCAGGTTTTTGTGTAAATGGTCAGAAGCAAAACTATCCTTTTAATTGTTTGAATATTATTGTTTTGAATAAGAAACTACAAGGGTTATGGGAGAGTGACAAAATCATTACTTTTTTGGGAATTCTTGGAACAAAATCCTTTATAAACATTGATACGGAAATAAACATTAATATTTTATCATGTCATTATGTGTTTTCATCATAAAAATATGTGCATGTTCTTTTCATCATAAAGGATAAAGCTATTACTCATTCACACTCCTCAGTAACGAGTAAAAAATGCACTAATAACAGACTCCACACTTATGAGTGGAGTCTAGTATAGTGAGTGGTGCTCACTATACAGGACTTTGTTTGGGTGACTTCCTCTTTCCTGCAGAGCTCAACACCTCCAGAACACTGCTCTCTATTCAGGCTCCGGAGCTGTATGTAACTCAACCTTCATGTGGGACTTTCTCCTCACTGGATTTATTATTAAAGAACAAAAACTCTATGTGCTCCTTACAGTTAAAATAATGTGTTTTATGGCTACAGGGATGTCAAGATTATACTAGGTTACTAAAAAAGAGGTCTGTATGTGTATATTGTCTGTATATGAATTAGCCTTAGCATGTCTAAAGTCCCACAATGGGTCAATTGCAGCTGTAGTACAGTAACCTATTGAGATAATAAAAATACAGGTTCATAGTGTCATCCTTCAGCTCCACGACTATAGACACCATAGGCCCAGAACCTCTTGAATCCAGTTTGTTTGACTATATCGACATGTATTTGTGATAGTGGTACAACATTCTCTGGACTAATGTACCGTAGTGGGTGAGAGAGTAAACATGGATATGAATAAATGTGGAATTCAGCCAACTTCAGCTCCGTCAATATAAACATGATGCCAGACCTCAGTCCAATTACAGTCAAGAATCCAAGTTCTAAGTCTGGTGGAATAAAAAAATATGTATACAAAAATTAGGTGAGATTAATAAAAACATTTTAGTTGTTAGTTCAGGTAATTTGTAATGAATTGAATCAAGCCCTCCACATCACTTAGAGAGTAGAGTTTTCAAATGTTATGTGTTGTTAAGTTTGAGGTTGATAATGATAGAGGAGCAACCTTAATAGTTTACAGACTTGGAAACAAAAAGTTGATTGGTGGTTATCAATAAATGTGAGCAAGTATTGTGATGTCTGTCCTCACAATAGCAGTAATATTGTGTTCTTCTGCCATTGCTGTAACACAACTACAGTAAGAAATCTCCCAGTGTCTCGTACCCGTGTATCGTCCATAGTTCCCCGTGGAGAGGCCTCCTCCCTGGGGCAGCATGCTCTTCATCCTAAAGGCCTCTTCAGGGTGGTTGAAGCGGAAGAAGGCAGACTGGCCAAAACACAGCATGCACCCTGGAGAAGAGCAAATACAAATGTTAACACCAAGATACAGAGATTTTAATCATAGAGTTAAGTGCATTTATTTGACTTGACCTGTAATGTAAAATTATTTCAATATGCATCTCACAGAACAATATGTGTATTGCAATATCTTAAAGATGTGAAGATAATTGCCCAGACAAACTTTGTGAATAATTGCTGTAAATGAATTCATTAAAAGTTGCAACAAATACAACAGATGGTGCGTTCATTTCTTCCCATATGCTTTGCTTTGCTTAAAAAAACTTTCCTTATTATGTTTAGACAATATCAGAGAACAATACTTGGATATGTCAGTTCTCCACAGAATCTTTAGAAAGAAAAGATGAAATATCCAGTGAAAATAAAAAGTAATACTGTACATATATACATTTAGACACTGGCTTTGTTGCTCATCTGTGCTAAACACCTCTCTGACCAATATTCCGTTCACACCAAATTCATGCATCCGATTACTATCCAAACAATTGTGATATTTACAAAGTTTTTCCAATTTACTGATAAACATATGACTAATTATTCAATAAGGAATTATATGGTCTAGAACAGAAAGAAGAAAGCATGTAGTGAGTTAGAGTTTTATGATAAAAACCCCTATTTAAATTTTGTCCTAAACAACCTTTTAAACTCCTTGATTATTATCTCAAAAACAAAACGCTGGTTCAGATTAATCCGAGAATGTAACTGTTTAGAAATAATCTATATTTTTTTTAATCTTTCACATTCCTAGGAGTTTTATCAATTGGCTGAATAAACTAATAGAGGGAGATGGGGGCTATAGTGCTAATGCACATGGGAACATTTTAAAAGATTAACCCTGCGCCTTTAGTCAACCTCTCTGATTTTTCAGACCCTACATATATAACAATAAAAAAAGGAGCGGTTATTTCTGTTGGTCATGCATCCCACTGGTTTAATGAGCGTGTCTATCTGATGTGCCTTGCCCAAACTTCCTGCTTTTTATGTCACCACAATAAAGAGTCTAATCTCAAACGGCTGACGAGTCCCATAAACTGTGTCAAGAGTGAGCAGGTGTTGATGCCCACGTCTTATAGAAAAAAGAGGATTATTCAGGTGTGTACGTGTATGTTATGAGTGTGTGTGTTTGTGTGTGTGGTCTCTGTGGTAAACAAAATGTCAATCAGGGCCACATATTGGAAAGTCAATACAAGATAAGATTGCATGTTTATGGCTGTTCATAAAGCACAATTGTCTTCTTTCAAAGATAGATCTTTATGTCCGGCTGCTGATAAGGCCCGTCTCTGCTTTAGGGTCAATATTGTCTCCACAACAAACCTTTTTTCTTGCATGCTGAATTGCATTTTCCAGTATTATCCTGTTACACGGTGAAGTAGAGTGCTCATTAGAATTACAGTTATTTAAGATCAATTATTTTCAGAATTACCAGTGAACAAGATTGACAAACAAGGATTATTCTTTGTGTTTTTTCACAGTTCCATGTGAATTTGTTTTGTTCATTCTGACGAAAATGAAAATGTAGAAACATGAATATGTATTTCCACACTATCTATGTGTTTTTCTCAAGTACCTTTTTTTTCTCATTATTGATGCGTTTTTTCATACAATTTCCTATAGGTATTTCACCTTAAATGGCCTCCCAAACCCTATCTACAGTATGCTGCAAAAATAAACATTTAGAATAATGGAAATACCACCTTTAATCAATACAGGCTTGCAAAAAGGCACTCAAATAGAAAAATACACAATGAACAGATCAGAAATTGTAGTAAACAGTTAAACAGTGAGTTTTGCAGTGCAACAGTTTTCACACAGCATGTACTTCACTACTGTCTATGATTCTGGGATCTTATTGTGAGCTATACATGCCACAACCTTTAATTTGATTACATTTTGTATAAAAAATTATCATATTATTATTACTGCTTCAGGCCTAATATTTGAGTTTCCACAATCATGATAATTACAGCCATCCAAACCCACGTGCATCTGTCGCGGTCATTGGAAAACTGAAAAGATGCTGAGTAAGAGTTTGGATCGAGCTGCAGCTGGAGGAAGAAGCCACGTTACCACTGTCAGCCTTTATACATACTACTCATCACTCATTCTCTCTTGGTCCGAAAAGTATTTGTGGAATTTCAAACCTGGAATAATAAAAGAGCTTTTGCAAATATCACAAATGTTTAAATAATGATGTGGTCATAACACACCAAGATATGTATACAATTCATTTATAACAGCCAATATTTTTCTATTAAGCCCTTTTGTTATGTTACTGTCTCTGACCCTTTTTGCTTGGTATGAAAAGAAAAACATTCCAAGTACAATTTTATGGGTAGTAGTATATGAAACTCTTGTGAATCCAAAAAAGAACACACCGGACTGGGTCTGTGAGGACAAGAGCAAGAATTTGGAAGAGAAAGTGGCCATTGTACAATTTTTAAGGATTTACTGTTTATGTTCAGAAAAATATTAGCGCATGCAGCGTTAAGGTCACTTTTCACAACAAAATATAAGTCTTTGCTTTGGGCCTACAGTATCTAAAAATGTGTTTTTGCTATTTTTTGTCTGATCCAAGACTGTAAATAAACACTGGAAAAGAATTGACACTTTTTCACATGTGTGCACAATCGTGTAGGAATGCAAGGTTTTGTGGCAAAGATTATTTCCCCAACAGTAAAACAATATTTTTCAGAAAATTTGCAAAGATCACGCCACGCTATAATTCCTAAAACACATTATTGGCCACCTTTCATTCCCGTTCCCTCACTCCCTCTCGTATCCTTCTTGTATTTCTCGTCAGGTCTCTCTCTTTCCCTCTCTTCTCTTTCTTTCCAAACTCATTTCCTATCTTTGCCTGTTCGTAGCATTCAGCGACACACACTCCCGCCGGAAGATCAAGCTCTCATTTCCGACAAAAGCCGACTTCAAAAAGCATAGCCGGGAGCGACGTGTCTGCTGTACAGTCATGACACATTCATCGCTCCGGAGTGTGAGGGGAAAAGAGGGAAGCGCCACGCAGCATTTTACCCTGAAAGCCTCCATGACTCAGGTCTAAACTGCACCTGCAGGAACCAAGAACGTCTGCGTTTTGGCTTGTTATAATTCAAAACACAGATTACAAAAGGCTCTGGTATGTGGGACTGGGACTGATTTTGAGAATTCATTGATCCACATGGGGAAAACGAGACACTGTAAATGATACAAGATCACACTACACACGCACTGGTTAAAAGCAGTGTTAAAGCTGGAGTACTTTGTTTAAAAAAAAAATCGGCTACATTGTGTTTGTCCCAACAGAAAGAGTCCTATTATAGCATTATGTGAACAGATCAGATCACGCCATGATTTATAAGTAAACGTTTGATCTTTTACATTCTGAAAACTGATTAGCTACATGAAAGTGGTCCTTTCTTTTTCACAAACAAAGTTGAGTTTATGTGACAGAGGCCAATAACACATTGTTTGGTTCTTTCAGCAAGTTACATGGATTTCACTACATGCATTTTTTTGGAGTTTCCAACTTAGGCACTCCAGCTTTAGTAAAGGATAAATACATTTTACATTTTACTTACAACATTTTTATTTTTATTTTTTAATAGAGCAAGCATGTCTTATTCTAGCTATAGCATTCTGTTCGACATAATAAAATGTGTAATATAATAAATTATAGGGGCGACAGTGGCTCAGTTGGTAGAGCATTGGCCTTTGGGCCTGAAGGTCGTGGGTTCGAGCCCACCGTAAGACCTACTTCACAACTCCCACTGATGACTGCTGTCGTTGTGTCCTTGGGCAAGACACTTAATCCCACTTTGCCTGAAGCCCCCACTGAAAGATCTCAGCTCATGTGGACTCACCACCTGCAGGAGGATCAGTGAGGGGCTGGTGCTCTGTGAACTGGCTGCAGTTCTGGCTGCCACCCCCCCGACCCAGGATTAAGGGGAAGAAATTGGATGGATGGATGAATATAATAAATTATAGAAAAAATTGCGATACATAGTAATAGACAGATATGTTTAAGTGTGGTCGTTTCATGAGAAGATTTTGTCCAGTTCGTTATCCACTGATACTGACACTTTGGTAGCGCCCTCACTGTCCAGTAGGATTCATTTTGCGTCTTTTACACAATGTAATAGATTCCTGCAAGACACCAAAATAACTCTATGAAAAATGCCATTACAATGATGTTAGAATGTATATGGTTTGTTGTGATGCTTTATAGAAGTTGCTATAAGTGTTATGCAAAGAACAGTCCAAGTGAAAGCATATAAAAAAGTATATGCTACAATCCTGAAATAAGAAAAACATGTCTATTTTGACCCAAACTCCTAATTTAGCTGTCATTTTGTTTCTGTCTTTAAACATTTAAAACATGCGTGCCAAGTGCCTACTGTCCGCACTTAGAGCACACTGACAGTGAGGTCATGGTAAAGATCTGCTCTGGGCTGATGAAGGATTCACTTGTACATCTCTCGTGAGCTCAAACCTCCGCAGGCAGCTGACCCTTACCCACAGGCTGCCCCCCATACCCCGGAGACCTCCGCCCCCCACCCTGGAGACCTCCGCCCAGCTGCGCACTTTCTGAGTATGTGTCAAAGAGGCACCGGCAGCATGCGAGGAGTCAGAGAAATGTAAAATGCAGTCACTCAGAAACAGAGCTTGGTATAAGAAGTACAGTACATAAGTTCATAAGGGTAGAATGTAGTGAATATAGGTTATGTTCATGTGACATCACAATTTTCCAAAGAGTCAGTATAATAATTTAAATGAATTTAAAAATAAAACATGCATGATGTTGGAGAAAGGCCTGTAGTAAGGTCGTTCAAATATGAGAACAATATGAGGGTTTGTGGGTTTGTGATCACTATCAAAAAATGAACTTTTGGCTGATCTTGATTAATAGACATAAAAGACAATGTTGATAATCATCACCAATTATAATTATAAATTGGACAAGAGACACATCAGGACAGGAGCAGGACCAAACCATGAAT